AATCGGATTTAAACCCCTAAAAAACCGGTTAATTTGCGTTCACACCAGGTTAAATAAAAACCGGTTTTTGAAAAACCGGTTGAAACCGCTAAATATAAGTCTGGTATGAACAGGGTCTATGTGTCCCTCTGAGTCTGACTTGTCCTTCGTGTGACGTCCTGGTAGTGCTGTGTACCTAAAGCCATTAGATTCAGGTCTGGATTCAAGTCGAGAGGTTTAGGCCTGGACTTGTAAGTCCGGACCAAAACCCACGGCATATACATAATACAGAAAGGACTTCTCAGTTAACATTTCCCAATGAAAAATGGGGCATCTTTGCTGCAAAATTTTGTAGCGAGCCCTGCGCTACCAGGGTTTAGGAGCATGATATGTTGTTTAGGTGGCACAACTGGGCGAAACTGTGGCCACATAATTTACAGAGGCTGACACTTGACAATGCATTTTGTTTTCTTCATTTTGCAGCACCAAGTTTTGTTCTATTGAAGATTTTAGGTGGTTTAGAACAAAAAGGGGAATGTGACATGATTTTTTTGTAAGTCTGAAACTGGTTCCAGACTTTTTTTACTTGGACCTGAACATTTTTACATAAGTCCGAACTAGTTCCAGCGAACCGGTACACAGCACTACGCCCTGGCCTTGTTTGCGTACTTTTCTCTCTGCCTGCGCCTTTTTAAAATGTCGTAACCGTTTACAAGTCTGTAGTGATGTGATGTCTTCACGTTTGTTTTAACAGTCCTGTATGAATCTTGTTGTTTTGTGAATCTGTTTCATTTTCAGTCTTGAGTTAATTTTGACACCTGAAGTTGTGGTTGTCTTGTCTGGCTAATTGTTTTTCTAACTTTCAATATGTTTATAAACCCTTCAACTATTACAAATTATACCAGGAGTACATATTTTATTGTAAAATGATTAAGTTACACAAGGAGTCTGCAAGTACTGATATTATACATATTAAGTAGTTTTATTGCATTGTATTTCATCATTTGTATTGTGTAATTGTCATTTCCCCTCCCCAACAGTTGCCCCTGCATTCGCAATATTCACATTGGTGATCACACCCCCTTATCAGAATTAGTTCACTGACATTTTTTTTTCTTAAATTTTGCCAAAATGGTGCATTCAAAGTAACAGAATTGTACAATACTACGTATTGCCTTGGTTCAGTTTGCCCAGCTCTTTTGCAAAATTGTGTCAGAAACACTGAATTTGATATTGTGTAACCAATTCACAAACCACACCACAATGCACAGTTATAATCTTGAATGTCAGCATGTTTAAGTTTTGTTTGTTACTATGGTGATGCTGGTGACATGTCCCCTGTACGTGTTCCCGTCAGGATTCGTCCCGGAGAAGCAGTTATGGGTCCCTGTCTGTAAGTGTTCGCACCATGTACATGTAGCTGTCACCTCTCTCTTCTCTCACCATGCTTCTGTGTATATAACTTGTATATCGAGAAACAAAGCATATTCTGTAAGGCCCTACACATCTTATCTTACATGAAAATGTAAAAAGGCTGTAGAAAATAGTTACTTTTCATTCATGTCCTTAGCCTGGATGCCAGACCCATAGCACACCAGGCCCAAAGTTATCCAGTGTGCGATAACTTTAGGCCTAATATAGGTCTGCCATCCAGGCTATCATGTCCTACATGCAAATGTTATGCCTCCATGTTCAGCCTTCCATGCTTTCTTCACTTTCCCTGTTACCTCACATCTCCTGTTAGATACTCAGAATTTGCAGACTTCTGTGATTTTTTCCTAACTACCTGTATTGCTGTGTCAAAAACTCAAACCTGTACATGTATGACACAGTTGGCATTTTGTATATTGTAGAGTCATCTGATCTACCATTTTTCTTTATGGTACTTTGGTATTTATTGAAATTATGAATGTAGCTTTATGCGATATAGTCTTATGTTGCTAGGTCAGTACACATTGTCATACACATTTTCAGCATTACTACATACTAACAGGGTGCTAGGACATGTTTTCATTCCGAGACATTGTACTGATGTCATGTCACATTCCCCCACATTTCAGGGTTCTGAGATTTACATAGGATCCATCAGTGAAGATGTAAGTGGCACCATGGACACACCTGTCTCTCACTCACCGCATGTTTGTGTTTAGATCCACAGATTACAGAGTAGCAATGATGCCATGCAGGTGGCTGCCACTTAGGCCACACCAATTTAATTTGTTGGTTCTCGGATTTTTTCAGAAAAAAAATGAAGCAACAGGGCGAAAAAATAAAATAAAAATGAAGATATAGGCATCCTATTATAGCCCCAAATGCTATGATAGGAGCCATGAAGTCAACACAAAAGGCTGGGTTAATATTTTAAACAATGAATTTTGAACTTTTAATCAAACCACTGCATTGATAGATGGAAAAACCGTAAAAACTAGGAAGAAAAGCATATTTGAGTTGATTCAGAACCAGAATCTTCTTTTTTTTTTTGCAAATCAGAAAGAAATAAGAAAAGCATATTTGAGTTGATTCAGAACCAGAATCTTCTTTTTTTTTTTGCAAATCAGAAAGAAATTAAGAGACGATTCCAAGAACCAACAAATTAAATTGGTATGGCCTTAGAGAGCATGAACATGTAGTTACTGTACTAACAATTGTTTATAGGGACTGATCATTAATAGTTGAGAAGGGTGGATGTTGGAGGAGCTGTCATGCCAGTTTCTTACCTCATAAGTATAAAGTTCTTTTTGTCTCGTATGATCCAAAATGTTGGGACAATATTCATTTCAGGTTTGGTACGTTTGTGTAAGGGTTGTTGCCATCCCTCCTCATATGTAATGGACAGTCCGTAATGCTTATTTGTTGTCATGTAGACTGTTGTATACTAGTATAGCCTAACTTAAATGACTAACTGTTACGTAGAAATACTAACATGTACGTACCTGATTTTAAGATTGGAATTTCCGCACGGGCGTTCACAGCTTGCGTTACCACCTCCTTGTTATACAGTGAAAGGGCACAAAATCAACAGCAAATCACAACATTCCATTCTTATTGTCACAGGGTCAACTTTTATGGTGTTTTCTTGTCCCGTGGAATAAATTCTGAGGAGGCATTTAACCCCAGTGAAGTGTTTAATAAATTCTAGTCAGTAATGACAAGGGTCACCTAAAACTTGGCCTTTCAACTTTAACCTTAGTCGCTAAAATGGCTGCTGCCTTCCTTGCTGCTCTGTGGGTGAGCGTTCTTATGTTTTTTTTTCTCTCAGAAGACTGGCGGGGCTCATAAACAATTAGCTTAGTGAATTAACATGGTCTAGAATTTCTTCCTACTGAAGTGATAGGTTTTGTATTTTTACTGTTAATTTGTACACTTAACAGTGTTAGACTCTAATGATGTTGCATGTCGGGCCAACATGTTTGTCTATAAGTCCTGAATTTAGCACATGACCCCCAGTGTAACCAAGGTATGATCTAACTTGAATAGAAAATTAGAGGTTGGAGAACAGTTTTTTTTTTATCTTTGCACGTGTCGTCATTTAATGGTGCATCCCTGAGTTTGACATGCTTGAAAAAATGTAGAAGTTTTTAGGTAGGAAGACTTCCTTGTTCTTGTGTAAAAAATGATGTCACGAAGCAATTTACTGTGTTTCTAGTTGGTATTTCCAAGTTGTCAGGAGCCAAGTTATTCTGCAGGGGAAGTCTTGACTTTCCATTCATTTTCTTCCCCTGCATTCCTTCTCCACAAGCCACTTATTCTGCGATAGTGTTTACTTTGTTAGCCTACACTAACACTGCTGTCATGCCTGGCTGCCACAGGGCAGGATTTCCCCTCCTCTCCTGTCACTACTCACTGCAATACTGGTTCTAACAGGAACCAGATGAGCCGTACTGCCAGTCAAAACCCACCCGGCGCAGACAAATGATATGTTTTGTCTGCTCTGAGAGGAATTCACAAGGTCAAGACGCTGACTCCTTTTTCAGCTGAAACAAACCATGATTTGACATTTTTCTCCGAACTACGCCACTCTGTGACAAATAAGAGGGAAAGGAAGGGTGTGATGCTTTCAAGGAGGATGCTTTTCACATTAGTGTACTTAACCTGTCACTTAGGATGTCTAGTATTGTCTGTAGTAGCAGTGTGTATTTAGAAAGGATTGTGTACTTATGCATGACTTTGCATGTCTTGCAGAAACATGTACGCAACAATCTAGATGTTACACTGCCATGTACTTAAACAATGTTTGACTAACATTACATGCTGCCTGTCATTTTTTCCAGCTAGAAATTAGGTTGTCATGGAATTGTTCTATGTTAGATTTTCCAGATATATTCTCTAACATATGAATCTTTGATATTAAATGTGTGTTTTAGCTAACAATTTTGTATGACATATTTCTCCCCTTCAATATCTTCATTCCCAGCAACAAAGACAGAAGACCTATGAATATGATTTCATATCTTTCTCTTTAGTATATTCCTATAGGACTACACATACTCTGGTCCCAATTTAAATGATATTGAGGAAAAATGTATGGAAATGCAATATATTTGAAGGATTAAGAATACTTTCATTTTAAGTAAATTGGATTGAATGAAATTCCACAAAAAATGTCCAAAAAAGTTCTTATACATGATGAAAAGCCCCAACGCTGCAGATGTGTGAAAGAATTAATGTTCACACAAAAGCTTTGTACGGCAAAGATTAATTGGTACAAAAAGACTGACTGTGTTTGTTTGTTTGTTTCCATTGCAGGCAGAAGGAGATGAACTGGGCACAAATGACAAAGCGAGGGTGAGGACGTCTTTGTTGTACTCATTAAGCTAAATAATGGAGACCCTATTCAGGATATCTCCCAGGGGGTGCTGTAATTACACGGTGTGAAGTTAGGGGGCATGACTAAATAAACTGTCAAACAGGTGTTAATGAGGTGATAATGAGATACTAAGCAGGTTTTTCTTGGCTTGAGAATGAAAATTCTGACAGGGATGTTCTTGTTACTGATGTTAGTAAACAAGAAAGATTGTCTGCAACCTAAAATTGATATTTTGAAATTCATCATTTGGAAGTTCCTTTTTGTTTCATATTTTAGAAAACAATTCAAGCATGGTAAGTTATTCAGAGGACCTAAGGTACATTGTACATGTAAATCCATCCTATAGAAAGTGTTAAGGCGGTCAACATCACTCTACTATTGCATGCTGAATATGAAATTGACATTTAGCAGGTTAAAGTGTAGAATGACAGTTGCATGGGTTCAGCTTGTTAAATTTGCAACAAGGTAGACAGGGGATAGGTTATGTGTCTTTCAAAAAATAATCCAGCTATCAAAAGAACAGGTCCTCCCTTGTAACCTCGGGAAAGTGTTTAGACTCCTTCACGTCCTGACATATTATCTCGGCAGACTAACAACAGTCTACAGCTGTCCTGACTAGCCAGAACATGTTGCAGTTGCCAATTATTACCTTCGCCAAGAAGGTTATGTTTTCAGGGGCGTTCGTGTATGTGTGTGTGTGTGTGTGTGTCTGTCTGTCTGTCTGTCTGTCTGTCAACACGATAACTTGAGAAGGCCTTGATGGATTGTCTTGATACTTGGTAGATGGGTAGGTCTTGATGAGACCTCAAAATGATTAGATTTTGGACCCCCTAGCGGCTTGTTATGGTACTGCAGCTGAACTTCCTGTTTTGATATCTCAAGATCCAGACATGCTATGGTGATGAAATTTAGATGGCAGATAGCTCTTGTGCTGGGGAAGAAGTGACGTGAGTTGAGGTCCCCTAGCGGCTTGCTCTAGAACTGCAGGGGGGTTTAAAGGACAAATGTTTAAAAGAGGATAACTCAAGAACCGATTGATGGATCATCGTGGTTTTTGGTATGTAGGTAGCTTAAGTGATGCTTGACATAATGATATTACAATTATGCGAATATTGATGTAATTTGCATAATTAATGAGGAAATTCTATAAATCAGCTGAATTCCATGATAGGAAGTTCAAGCTTGTAACATATGTTATTAAGAACGAGAGAAACACAGGCAAATATTGATTATGCAAATGAAGACTTAATTTGCATAATTAATGAGAAAATGTTATAATTGCGTAGTGGTAACTGCCTGGAATTTCATACTTGGGGTGTTTGAAAGTTAAGTGAAGGTGAACATAATTAAACATAACTTATTCAAATAAGGACCACATTTGCATAATTTATGAGAAAATGGCATTCTTTGTTAAGATAAGACTGTCTTTTGGTGGAGAATATGATCAACAGACTGATATACTTCATGCAATTGAGGATCCTATTTGCATAATCAGGGTGATTAGTATATTTCTTATTCATAAAGGCTAACATCATTTGGCGAAGGTATGAGATCGTGGAACTCTAGTTTAATCTGCAAACTGTCTTTGAAGTTTGCTGTAATTGTCGTCTTCAGTCTCTTGGGTGTCCATTAGGAACTGTAAGTTCTAAACTCTGAGTCCACGTGACAAGCATACATGTATGTGTGGTGTATGTGTGTACCTGTGGGTTTCATCCTTTTCCCAGAGCAGTTATACAGAGTTCAATGTTTGACGTGTAATGTTGAGTTTTTTCTCCCCGATGTTGCTGCAGAGAGGTGCGGGGGGTTCTGTATTATCGTTCGCTAGTTTGTCGGCGCTCGGCGGTTCTTCGTCCAGAAGAGGCAGCGATGATGATGCCGGGTCTTCCTCCTCCGAAGCCTCCATTCGGGAACTCAAGGTACGCTAGAGAGAGACTCACGACAGAAAAGGGATCCTTGTGATGTCTTCTTGCAACTATAGTAGTCTGAGAAAGCTAATATAATTTATTCCCTTTCACAGAATTCTGTGGTATAGAAACATAACTTGACAAATATGAATAATTATACATGTAACTGGGCTCGAAATTCATTTTTGGGAACAGGTGCACTGAAAAATTGCAACCTAAAAATTGGGTGCACACAAATTTTTTTGGGTGCACCATATAAGATAAAATAAGTAGAATGTCAGCAAAATCCAATTATGTATCATTTCTGAAGAAAAGTACTAAAACAATGATTTTGTTCTTTTCTGACACTTAGATGTTAATAAAAGAATATGCTGGATACTACTGTAATTTAACATCTCTACATATGTAAACCTACAAAAATATTTGGGTATACTGGTGCACCCACAGAAAAAAATTAGGTGCACAGCTAAAAAATTGGGTGCACTAAGGTGCACATCCTGCACCCAGTATTTCTAGCCCTGAATAACATTTGTTTATTGATTAATCGTGCAGTCTCCAAGTACATGGCTGTGGTAAAGGGCGCTGACTTATATCGATGAGACCGACTGTCAGAGTTTCAGTTCTTGTCACCAAGGCAAGCTGATATTTCACTGAGAAGAGTGGACAGCACATGGACTGTTCCACGTAGGAAGATGGAATGGGGGGGAGATAAAGGACAAAGAAAAGTGCATCTGATGAATAGAAAATTAATAGAAAATTTGTATATGATTTGGGATATTGCAATGATATTGGGCATAGCAGGGAAGTCTTGAATAGGATTGTTCAGAGAACACAAAGAAAAGTACACTACAAAAGAATTGAACACCAAAGGACCTTGCTACCACATGATTTTGTTGTGACTCTCTGGTGGTTGGTTTGGGATTTTGCACTCTGCTTTTCAGCTTTTGCTTGTAACCATTTGCTTTCTCATTGTCCTATCTTTTAATACTCATGTTTAATGTTTTTGAAAAATGTTCCCTTTCATTTCACAAAGTCGTTTGATGTAGTAGTTTGCTGCTTTCACTTTGCGTACATTAATAATTGTTTGCTAACTGATTTCTTGCATACTTTCTCCTGCTTTTTCTTCGTATCCTTTGATAACCTCCTCGCGATGTTTCGCTGCACACTGCGTTCCTTCCAGGCCTTGCAAGATGCACTATTCGATGTAGAGCAGAAATACATGACAGACTTGAAAGTCTTGAAGGTAGGAGGTTCTGTGATAATTAGATGCAATAACGATTATATCTTTCCTGCTCTTCTTGCATGCCTCAAACTAAAAGTCTTCATAGAACATAATTCTATTTTCATTCATACATCTGCATATCAATTTGATTACTTGACTCTTTCCATTTTAATATATACACTGCCATTGTCGATGCCACTGTTTCAGCAGTATATATGCTCTGAACTTCTGTGAATAGTGGTGTAGCACTAGAAGTTCATGAAGTTTTATGAAGAAGATTATGCTCTAAAAACACTGTAGTTATCTTATCTATCAAAAAGAGAGGGTTAGATAAAACTTGATACCAGAAAGTACCGATTTTGTGTGTATATCTCACAAACACCCCTTGTAGTTACCAGGTCTGTACAAGAAAAGTGTCCATGTAATGTTTATTATTGTCCCAGCTGTCGTAACCTCAGAACAAATATACAGGTCCTTGTGGCACAGCTTGCCCTCCTAATGTTCCTGAGAGAGGCAGCAGCTCCTATAAATCTTTCCACAGTGTTATTGATAGACTGGTAGCTCTGAAATACCACCAACCAGATGAAAAGACAGATATTGGACATACACAGCTACTTGACATTTCCATGGGTCAACAAAGTTGACAGTGCTTTGCCATAGCATTTTAGTGAATAGCTGTTAGCATTGACCTTGTCTACGTGCCCTCTAAGACCAGTACTTGTTTATTTTTCCAGTGAACTAAAAGATTGACCCCAGGGTTCTGTTGTTTATCATTTATCACATGTTGTCAACACATTGGCCTTAGGAACAAAGCACAAAGGAGTGGGCAGAGGTGAAAATAAAAAAGAAGTAAAAAAAAATTACCAAATGATAGAAAAAAGGTGGATTTGCACATGACTTCTTCTTTCAGCCATGATGATAAATAAACATCTTCTTTTATTTATTTGTTTATTTATTTTACTGACAAATGGGTGGTCCATTCAGCCATTCAGCCAGGCTGATTTCCAAGGGAGCCCATGGAATACAAGAAAATAATGTAACATAAAATAGCAAGAATTAAACGTAACAGAGAAATTCGAAAATCATAAATCAAAATACAAGATCAGTCAGAGCGTGAGATTGTCAGAGGTCAGACTCCAAATAATACAAACTTAGGAAGTAGATCCTAAATAATAAAGCACTTGAACATATAGTAGTAATAAACCATATTCATGTATACAAATCAAACAAATAACAAAAAAAATAGTTAAATCATAATCGGTCAGTGTTCGGAGGGAGTCAAGCGTCAGATAAGTTCAGTACTATTCATATTTCAGTCTCTCTTTAGATGATTTAAGGGTGGGTGCTTGTTTTGTATAAGGGTTTAGTGAATTGTAAGTGTCGTGCCGTACTGTAACTTCTGATGTCACTTTTCTAACTCGTGTCTCTAGGATGCACTAAGTGAATCAGAAGAGAAGTACAAGAAAGCGATGGTGTCCAACGCGCAGCTAGACAATGAGAAAACCACACTACAGTACCAGGTGGACATCCTAAAGGACAAGTTAGAAATCCAGGAAGAGTCCATGAACGAACTACAGAGGGAGTACAAGGAGAAATGCAGGGTATGTCTTCTTTTTTGTTTCTCTGTTTTATTTTGCCGATAAACTGCATGCCTTTCAGATTTTTAGGTGCAGTACTAATACTGTAAATCGCTTTATATTTGCGGGCGCTTTTATATTGAATGATTTCGTGGCTTTCGCAGTCACTTCTGTACTGCGAATTTATCATTATTGCAAACAAATAATTTGCTGACTTTCTTCTGCACCCATCCATTGCCACTGGGAACATGTAGTTCTGTGAACATGTACATTTTTCTCAGGCCGCGAAAGTTTGCTACCATGAATCTAAAGTAATTTATAGTTACTGTTCTTCCAACATGCTGTTTTATCATAAAAGATATAGGGATGAATATCTTTTGGCATATTATAGCAACTTTAAAGGCTTGATTTATTAGTTTTAATTATCTAGATTATGTTCAGGATGTCATCATTTAAGGTTCAAGATTGTGTGCTGAATGCCATTTTCTCTTTTGCTGTAGGAGTTAGAAAGACAAAAGCATGCTTACGGCATCTTAGAACACAATGTTGCAGAGCTGAAGGAAGCACTAAGGCAACGGGATGAGCTTATAGAGGTGAGTGGTATTCCCCCCTAAGGGAATGGCAGATCCCAACACCCCCAGTGGTGAGTAGGCTAGTCCAGTGATCAGTTAGAACCAGTTTAGTCTGCCACAAAGTAAAAATATCTGATTTATGTATGTACTAAACTTGATGTGAAATATGTAAATTGAGTTGATATTGTCCAATGTGAATTCTAGAAATATTCTTAGTTTATGGAATGTACATTGTTCTCAATTGCTCAAGTTGTGCTTTTTTTTATATGCCTGTGTTTGTCTGTCTGTACAGTCAAACCTGTATGTGCTATCTCATAAGGACCACCAATTTGACCATTTTTCCCCATTGGCACAAGCATCAAGCCAATAGTGACCCCCTAACCACATGACTGGATTATATCGGTCCCCTGAGTGGTTGTCTTGGGCAGTTTTGACTGTACTTGTTCTTACTTTCTCAGCCTCAAACATTACATTGTTATGTTACCCCTCTATCTTTGTTACCTGCACTGTAATTTATCCACTTAAAGTACAAATGTATGTTTAGCTAGTTGTGTGTTCTAATTCAAGTGATATGCTTAACTGTCCATGATCTTGAAAACTGTTAAAGGCATCCAATACAATTTCAGGGTGGCAAAATTGGAAATATTCTGAATAAGGCAAAATGATAGTGACACATACTATCCCAAATTAGCATATTTAGATCAGTATTTCAAAAATCAATCCAGGTCCTTCCAGTAACCATTTTTCATCAGAATTTGGGGGTATTTTTGCTCCATGAATGTGCAATATACATTGGGACAGTGTTGTTTCAACTGTGTATATAGATAAGTGACTAGAATATTTATTCTAAAAATCTGGTTTCCAAACCCTAAAAACTTCACTGGATGCCTTTAAGTTTAACTCCCATGATTGTAGGCTGTAGATTGAATATTTGTTTGATTTTCTCTCCTGCTGTTCAGGAACATGGACTGAGGCCACTACTGGTGGGTACAGAAGTCTACAGTAGTGTGGGAAATACTCTCTCTCTCTCTGGTGTTTAACGGATTATAACTGTTTGTCTCTTCCCTCTTGTTTTCCTCCTCTTTTCCAGCTCTGTGGATGTGGTTTACTCTCTCCTTATTTTGTTTGGTGTCTTTGTGGATAGCTGTACTAAAAGCTGTTCAAATCAAGTGTCTTGTGGATATGAGGGAAATCCTGCAAATACATGTACTTTGCTCAAGGCTTGGAAAATGTTTCCCTCTTATTCACCAAGAACTTTTGAGAACAGCTTTTAGTTAGCGAATGCTAAATCGTGGTGAAATTTGTGGGAAGAAGGAGGCCGAATTTTTACACTCATCTGATTTTTTGCCACAAACATTGGAGGCTTGTGGTTGTACAAAAGTAGCCATGCAATGTGTCAAAAAACAGTAACCCAAGGAACAGTTACTGGATATGATTTTGGAAATGGTCACTGATGAAAGGTAATGGATGCTACCTGAAACATCTGACTGTTTCTAAAATCATATCCAGTTGCTTATCTTATTACCTGGATGTCTAACCCTCACCGACATAGCCATGTTCACTTCAAAACCATATTAATGGATGTTTTCAACTCGATTTTTTTAAAACATCCATTCTTCTTCCCACGATGAGCAACACTAATGTCTTTAAGGTTGACAAGTCTCCCTTCTCTACTTGTTCCTCACTCCAGACGTCTTTCCCCGAGCTCTTCTCCTGTCTCTGGTCTCCTGTGGTGATGGCTGCAACAGAGTGCATGCTGGGAAAGTCTTCCTCTTGCTACTCACAGCTGATTGGTCAAAACAGAACTCGAACGGTTTTTTGAGACTTCTTTTTTTTCTTCCCCAGGAACAAGGTTTGGTTCTAGTCGGGACGGCCAACGGGGAGGCGGAAACGGGAGAGAAGAAGACGAAAGTTGCCTTGGTAACGCCGGAGGCTGCACAGATGTTGGAACAGGCAGGCGAGGGAACGTTAGGTGAGGATGGGAGACACCCTGTATAGTGTAGACAGCAAATGGTCATGTAGGAGATGTGGCCAACACAGATGTTCTCTAATGTTACTTCTCTGTGAATTAAAGCCATTTGCTGTTTAGTTTAACAGTTATTACATTACATTGTATAGTATTCCTATTGTACATAAGTCCCAGAAATGGCTAAAGTGTAAAAATGTCTTCATTTTTGGTTAATTTAGAAAAAAACTCCATTTACTCCCTCTTGCATCTGTGGTAAAAACTGCAGGCTGGAGAATTTATGTCACAGCCTTTAAAATTGGGTGACCAGGTCATCATACTTTACCTTCCCAGTGTACTGTTTTCTTTCCTTCATCCACTTGTTTTCCCCATCACCCACCATCTCACAGTGTCCTGGTACAGACCTGTACCCGCACTGTGCTTCTTCTGTTGTTTCCCACTTACTTATGCCTCATTTTGGGTTCTGTGTGGGGCGTTAAAGACTTAAAGGCACTGCAGGCCAAGAAGCAGGGTCCTGTCCAATCGCAGCCCAACACTGAATACGCCATGGCAATGTTCTACGGTAAATCTCGCGCCTGTGTGTCTGTGGGATGGAGCAGTAACAACACCAGCCAGAAGTCTGCCACGTTTTCTCTTAATGTCATGAGCACTGAGGACCCATACATAAACCATCACCACTCTTTCCTAACATTTTTCTCACTACTCTATGTGTCTGTCTTTGCTTTGTAGTGTTGGCTAATCAGGCCAAATATATGTGTGCATCCTAGATCAACAAATTTTCACAAATAATATATTGTTTTTTTTTTTGTTAAACAAAGAACATTATCTTGAAATTACATGTATTACTTGAAATCACATAAGATTCTTAAGGTAAATTTGGTTCAGAATCATTTCTTATACCCTCCTCCCTCCAATGCCAAATGACATTCCAGAAAAAATACATAGAAAACATTTTTTTCTCAGAAACTAGGATGCACAGTCATTTTTCATCCATTGGATAACATTGTGTTTAAGTCTTGTCTCTAAATTGAGTCTAAACAGTTCAACTTCAGAAATAAGAATGTCATATCACCTGCTAAGCTGAAGAAGATAGTTATAAAATTTATGCATGAAGTAAAGCCTTATTTGTTGTGAGCATGCCGTGTCTTTAGATTAAAACAAGGATTTTCAATTAACATGTTCCTTGTAATAACGTTATCCAGTATGGCACTCAGTTGTTTGAAATGCTTGACAATCACAATCTTGATTTTTCTTCTTTTACCAAATCTTTAAAGCAAGACAGCAATGCTTACAAGAGAATTTGAATATTATGAAAGTTTCCAAAAGATAATCTTTGTCAGAAAATTGATACCTCTAGTCTTTTTTTTTATAAGAAGGAACATTGCTTACAATTTATATTTCTAACCAAGTCTGCATGTGTATGCCAGATGAGGTTTGTATCATATATAGATAGAAAGAAAAGCACAGAAGTCTCTATATTGAAACAATTAAGTTTAGAATGATAGTCACTCCCTTACACCCTTTAAATAGATAGCAGTTACATGTAGTTGAAATTAGATGTGAACTTACAGTTCTACCTGTTAACTACTGTACATGTATGTCCCCTACTGTTCTTTGATTTTTCTCTTTTACTAACTTACCAGTGATGTTGTTATTATCTTCTGATTTAAGATCACTAATGAAGTTATCATCCTTTTCTAGATGAAAGACTTAAGAGAATGGCAGAGGAAAAAGAAGACCTTGTAGATCAAGTAAGTCTTCTTTTTAAGATAATACAGTGGTACTTTCCAGACAAAATATTTTGTAGTTAAGGTTGACAAAAATCAGATAAATTTTTATGTTTTATACATACATATGTAACAAAGCTTTGAGTAAAGAGACTCTTTTTACACAACCAAGTCTTTTATTCAGCCAACGTTTTGGTGACCGTCTGTCACCTTCTTTAGGGCAATTCTGACTGGTTCACATTGCACTGCAGCACAGGTGTCGCTGCTACAGATGCACTCCCAAATGAACAATATTTCCATATCTACACAAATGCGTGATTGGATTACAGGGAAATGTATCTACAATGCGGTCCCAAACATGAGGGAGTTATATACATGTATATACAAATGTACATAATGGTGGTCAGTTATCTAACAGTTACAGAGAACTATGAACAGATTCCACAAAGCAGTTCCAAACGTAGCAGCGACACCTGTGCTGCAGTGCAATGTGAACCAGTCAGAATTGCCCTGAGGAAGGTGACAGACGGTCACCGAAACATCGACTGAATGAAAGACTTGGTTGTGTAAAAAGAGTCTCTCTACTCAGTGTCTTACCAACCTGATGAAACTATTCACAGATGTAACAAAGCTTTGTCTTGTAGTTTAAAAAAAAAATCAAACTTTTGTGTGCATTGTATACTCCAAAGTCCCTGTATCATCTCCAAGATTTACATGTACCTTTGCATGGTTTGTTGTCACTGTCCTTAATTGGTACTGAACTTTTTTTCTTGTCTACAGATTAGAAGATTGAAACTAGAGTTAGAGGAAGAAAAAGAGCGGACGAAGGCCTTACAGAGCAAAGCCAACAGGACTGCTGAAGCTAACGGACCTGATATGGAACTGTTGGACATTCAGAGTAAGTCTGCATGTCTTTCTTTTCTGTTCTGTAGTCTTCACGTTACTGTTATTGTCCATTACTTCTGTACCTTGAATGTAATGCCCTATGAGTTGTATTTGTAGCTCTTCTTTTTATCATGTTGTCCCTTTTACATGTAGTTTTCGTTAATATCACTTTTCTTTTGAACAAACTTTGTACATGTTTTAACCCCATGTCATCTATAGTATAGTCCTTTTTATTATAGCTAGAACAACTTGTAACAATGTGAATGTGATAAGGCTTAGATAGTAGTATTTTTAGCTGCTCTGTCATACTGACATGTTAGCTGTGTTAGTGTTGTTTCTATTGTATACTGTGTTTTATGTGTGCATGCTTTTTCTACGTGTACCTGTATGCAAATCACCTTGCACGCAGCAGGAGATTTGCATGTGTTTTGCATCTGTTCTGTGTCTGTTTGTCAGTCAAGTTTAAGATTTGGATGAGGGATAGGTTGGCCAGGGGTGACAAGGCTGTGTCCGATGAGATATTCAATTATCTCAGTAAGTATGCTGTAGCCAACCCCCTGCCTGCTTCCATCCCTGTGAGCCAATCACAGATAGCCTTGCATAGGTGGTAGCCAATCCCCTGCTGCCTGTAGCAACCAATCATGTACCAGCTTGCAAACATTGCTAGCCAATTACAGCCACTTATGCAGTGATTTGTCAGCCAATCACTCATAGAGTATCTGACGTTCAATCGCAACCTAGTTTTATATACATGTAGTATCATAAAATCACAGCTTTCCCTGCTTGATTGTGAATTATAATCTGAGTGTGTGTGTGTTTGCTTGTAAAGATTCCTAGCAGCTATTGTGTCGTATTTACTTTATTTGGTATTGTTTATATCCAAATAAACAGAAGAGATGACACTTTTGAGGCCCAAAATGGCTTAGTTGACGGTGTTGATGTAAATTTGAACAAGTTAAACTCTATATATGTAGGTAATATGTTGAAGGACCTTGAATCTAAGGGCCTTGTGCTACAGTTAGGTTCTTTTTATAACGAAAGTTTGTAAATTTCTCTCCTGCGAACGTCTAATTTAGCAGAGACTGGTGAAAGGGGCAAGGAGAGAGGGTTGAAATCAGGCCAGTACTTACATGTAGCACGTACCTTTGAGAGTGCCCCCCTCCCCTTCTGTTCATTGCATCAGTAGAACACAAGGAGAAAATAAGAACTAAGGGTTCAGATGTCAAATGAATGTACAACTATAGTTTTTTTATCTGCATTGTCTTTCTAGATACTTTGTTTTGCTGCATACTAGTAGACAAATACAAAAGTAACAAGGTGTGACTATACTATAATGCCATGACAACCTCACACTGTAAAATGGGGACTTGCATGAAGTCCAGTGTTTTATACAATCTGTGCTGTCACAGGTTTAGTGATTTAACTAACTAACATTATATAGCATTTGCCAGCATTATGTAAATATAACTCCCCACCTTTTGCCTTTGGAAATGATTGTTAATGTTCACAGTTTGGAACAATAGTCAGGTAAAATAATGATCTTTTGCATGGCTCAGTGCTGTAATCGTCTTGCGGAAGTTGGACTATTGTGTCATGATTATTTTTTTGTCACCCAAATTTCTTAACTACACTAACTGCTTTTACATGCATTAAGGATTGTCCTAGAAAACATGTCTATTTGATATTATTGAAATATTGCAGCTACTGCTGAAACTTTCTTTTAAGTAACGGTTCCTTGGTGTTTGGAGTATCAATACTTTTCTATGTCTTACTTTCTACTACCATCTAAATACACCATGACACAAAATAAGATTATCTCAGTAAAGCAGCAATAAACAGTTCAAAGAATCAAAGCAATTTTCTGAATCCTCATTGCCAAGGAGTAATGCACATGTTGGAGAAAAACAGATGAAGAAAGCTTAGTTGAGCTTGGAAGAATTTTGCATCACAAGAATTTTGCATCATGAGCTGTTGTTCTGTTTATTTTCAGGAGAAGCAAGTAAACAGGTCAACAACTACAAGTTTAGGTTACAGAAAGCAGAACAGGACCTTGCAGCTATGGAGGGGAATGTGAGTAAACAGAGTCCCTTCCTTTTTTTTAAAGCGAGTTCTCATTTTTACAATCTCAGGACAAAGCTACAAAACTGGTGTGTTACACCGAAGGGCGGTTATACCGGCTATACCGATACAGATACATAACAATTGGTCTCTGACCAAAAATTAAACTTTGATGTTTTTTTTTTTTCAAATTGTTTTAGTTCTTATATCCCTTGTATCAGAGCAGTAAGATTAAGGTATGCTACAAAGATACACACACTAGTTCTGTACAGAAAATAAAGGGTTTGCCAACAAGCTTTCCATCAGTCTTTTGATCATTTTCAGATAACACGGAATTTGTGTAATGTGACCTGATCGAAAACTTAACAATCTCTTAACATTGTGTACAGAATTAACATGTATGTATCAATTACTAGGATCAAGCACTAGGATTTTCTTTAAAATTGACTCGAGTACAGACAAGGTTTGTGTCCTTCTGTCAGCATCAGTCATTTCTGCCAGGAAATTCTATGGGATCATCCTACGTGAAAATTCCAAATTTTGTGCATTAATTTTGGAGTGAAAATAATGTTTTCTCTGTTAATGTTACGAAAATGAAAAGATGTTGCAGAAACCAAACTCAGTTGGTCTTGTAGCTGAACAGATATCCTTTCGTCCCATATACAGTTATTCTCCTTCCGAATTATTCCACGGCAGAGACGGTCACTAGATTTGAGGGTGTGCAGCTTCGAATAGAAACGCCAAATAAACTGGGGTGTGTCCCCTTGATTGACTGTACATGTGACACTGTGATTTTTACTTCAGATCCAAAGACTTGAAGGCCAGGTGAACAGGTACAGGGTAGCTGCAGAAGGGGCCGAGAAGAAGGAAGATGAGCTTAAGACAGAGAAAAGAAAATTAGAGCGAGAGGTGAGGAAATTTTACTTTCATACAGTACGTACAGGTATTAAACATCTCAGACTACAGTTTCTTTTGTTGTTCTTTTTTATTTTTGTATCTGTATTCTATTAATTAGAATCCTGACTTTATTCTTTTGTAGTGAAGAACTCCTTTCTATAGTATGCTTTTTGTGCTTCTTGGTTTGCCTGTTGTTCTTTCCTATAGACATAGATATCAACAACCTACATTTCAACAGGGTTTAGGCTTGAGTAGAGTTGAAAAAAAATGTTCTCTTTTTGTTGAAATGTAAGGTTGTGATATCGTCAGGATTCACACTTTTGTTGCTACATTTCCTCCCTTTTCCCCTTGTTTTCCATCCTTTTCTCCTTGTCCATTCTCCTTGCTAACACCCTGTCCCTCCCCAGCTGAGAAAGTCTCAGGATATGGTTCAGGAACTCCAGGAAAGCAACTCCAGTCTAGAGCGTAGGATAGAAAAGATTAAGTCTTTCTATCAGCACAGAGGCCACAATGGTACATACGTGTGGTGCAAGCTTCTACAGAAATAACTACACGCACCCTGCCATGTCTGGCAGATTAAAGTGTGCCAACTTTTTAATCCCTGCTTCCTAATCCCTGCTTTTGTAATGTTTTATGGCACAAGGTCAATGGCTAAATCCTTCGCACTTGACACCTTAATCCTTGGAGACTGATTGACATCATGCTTATGTTCTGTTTCCTATATTAGATGTACACGTAGTTGAAAAAGAAGCACATACCGGTGCATTTCTATGTGCATGCTTGTTACAATGTACATATAACTATGTGTTATATGATCATGTCCTGTAGAAAAGAGTAGAAAAGAGTAGAAATGTTAAAAAGTTGCTTGTCATTCATTCAGCCTGCTTCAGAAACATACATTGTACTAGCACAGATGGCATGTTTAATAGGGCAGAGGCATGGAAAAGCATGTCTTCATTTTTAGCAGTGTTGAAAGCACACCATGCCACAATCTAGTTTTGTTCCTGAAAATATTGCACTGGTAGATCCTTGCAAGGAGAAAGTTTCACCCCTCATGTTTTCTTGTCGTGCACCTTGCCCACTTTTCCACACTTCCAACACGGAAAGTTCTTTTCTGCGTAACTGATGATGTCTTGTTCGCCCCCCTCCCCCTCGGCAGTTGCGATCGGCGAGCGACAGAGCGGAGGAGCTGGCCATGATGAATAGCCATCTGGAAAAACGACTAGAAAAACTACGGCGGAACAGAGAGCAGTTTCAGAACATGAAGTAACGCCACCTAGCAGCACAGCACCTCAATGCAGGGAATGTCCATTATATCTCAAGGGGGGGTACACATCCCCAGAGAAGTCCTACTGTATTATTTCTCATCTAATTTCATGCTCTCATGATCCCAACTCCCTTGTAGCGAATGAAAAGTGCCACCATTTTTGTCCATTTTGAAGCACTATGCATTAGAAATCTTTGAAGCCACTCTCTAACCCTCCCCTATTTTGTGTCCCACCCTAAAGTTATAAATGGACATTCCCTGTAAGTTGGATGATGTACTAGTATTACATCTAAATGGTTTAGAGCTATATTTGAAACATGTCTTGCAGTAGATAACGCAGCACAGAAACTTAGGAGGATATTTTCTGAGCAAGTCTTGGTACTGTAGGTAGGTAGTGTGCACTTTACTTCCCCACACTGTCAGCACACTGCCTCTTGCACAGGCACTCAAGCTTTTGTACTCTACTCAAAACTTAAAACATCAATATGGGAGGGGCGTCACACTTATCATAGTTGGAATTGACATACTCAAGATACAGTCACACTTACTAGTATTTAGGATTGCACAAGCTGTGGGGAGGGGTTAGGCAAAGGCTAGCACTTCGACAATGTGGACAAGGCATCGACATTGTACACTGCATAGGACACCATATTTATAGGTGCAGGCACCTTTTCTTGCTGCTGAGGACACACGGGCATGTCGCTGGGGGCCTTCCTGATGGTACTACAGACATACTACATACATGTACCTACATACGTGATGTGCTACATACATATTATGTACTACATTATGTACTACAGACTGAGTTTTTAGTAACTCTCAGTTGTAGAAGTAATCATCCTGGGACTACAGTATGACGTTGATAAAATATCTTCCACATATACATACATTATAACTGCAAAAAGCAGCATAGATAGTTCTTTATTGTAGTAACTGCAGATTCCCTAGGATAGCCAGTGAGGCATGTGTCTTGTGTTGTATTACAATTACTTATTCATCATAGCAGGGACATCTACATATTTGGTGAAACATTTGTGTGCGCTAATTCTTGGTCATCTCCTCTTTCTGACTCTTCCATTGTAATCTGTAATAAAAGTGTGAAACATGCAGACTCAGATACACAGAAAACAATAGCCTGTCATTGAGCCATGTAAAAAGTATCATATTAATTTTGCTGCAACTCTGCAATGTAAGGATGATTTTCTCCTGTTATGACATGAGTTTTCAAAGCTCGTACTAGACGCTGTCACAATTTTTGAGTCGATAGAATGTATAAGATATACCTGTACAGGGTAGCCTGGCAGCCAACTTAATTATCCTTAATTGTGGTATAAGAATTGATCTTAATGTCTGTGCTTTTTGCTAGACCATGTGTTTAAGTAAGGTAAATGTAGTTGTGGATTATACAGTTTGGATTTCAGCCTAGGATCTATGAATTGATAAAAAAAACTATGTTGATGGAAAAACCTGTGCATATGGATATGTGTATTTGTATATTGCAAGTTAACTTTGGAATGTTTTGTGTTTTTTGCAATATCCTTTTCTCTGGTAGAGGTTGCTTTTTTTTATCAATACTGGTAGATATTTACTGTGAAGAGTGCACTCTATGGTATATTTGAACACCAATTTGAATAGTAATATGCAACAGAATATTGTGGAGAGCTCATAGTTGGTCCACAGGTAATATGTTCTAGAAATACAGCCACATTACTGAAGGTTTCAGAGTTACAGGTGTAGATTGGTAAACTGGTACCAAAAGTGGAATGACTGCAAATAGGAAAAATCTTAGAAATTTGGAGCAATTGTTGGCTCTCATTATTATCAAAGAGCGCTTTGCTTCTCGCAAAGTTGGCAGAATACATGAATAAATATTGTATTGTGAGAATACTTTCCAAAAGCTGGAGGGTAAGGATTATTTATCATAGTACCACTGAGAATAAGGCAGTATTACCACTGTGGGTCTAAGTGTTGTGAGTTTTTCCCCACCTTGAAATAATGTACTTATGGACCTGAAGACTTGTGCTTGGGCACGCACTTATTTCTCTATGGAGAATGAAGTAAAAACACTGTACATCTTTTCACCTGGTTTCTGTGCTTCATGTTGTCAGAGTTTTGCTATCTATACCTTATATCTGCTCCATGTAAGGCCACACCAATTTGATTTGTTGTTGAAGTGACAGGGTGAAATAAAAAAAAAAACAGGCCAAGGCACCCCATGAAGGCTGGAAATGTTACAATATGAGCTATGAAGTGAACATACCAGGCTAGTTACCTTCGCCAAGAAGGTTATGTTTTCCGAGGCGTTCGTTTGTGTGTGTGTGCGTGCGTGCGTGCGTGTGCCTCTGCAGACACGATAACTTGAGAAGGCTTAAGTCTTGATACTTGGTAGGTTGGTAGGGTTTGATGAGACCTGGAAATGATTAGATTTCGGACCGTCTTTTGAATATGTATTGTCACCTGCTTGCCGTTCGCAAACTTTTAGACCGATTTTATGTGTCAACTTGTTGAAATTTGTAACGTTACGAACTCGCAATTCAGCTCATGAGCTGCGATGAGTTTGTATTGAATAATAAACCATTCTATATTATTCTTAAATTATACACCAAAAAGTGATTTTGCGATCAGCTGATCACGTGCAGAAGTGGTCACAGTCTTGGCAGAAGTGAATTTTCCGTGTTGATCTCATTACCATATGAATGTAAACCAAGCAGATGGTGGGAGGCGAAATCGTAACTGGGGATTGCCGTACTTTACGCCTGTAATCTACTCCATCTACTGTTTCCATTCATATGATATTGAGATTGGCACTAAAAAATTCACAAAATTGATTTCCTTCGTATATTGCAGTCGGTGAGTTAATATTCAGTTTGTTGTCATGAAGAAAAGACCAGGTTCAAACTGAAGCTATCCCTGTCCTTGGTGCTGAAAGCCATCCCCACACAATGCCCTCCTCCCCTGTTCGTAAGACTATTACGTGGTTGCCGAGCATTTTCACCTCCCCTAGCCTCATAAATCGGCTCCTTTTCTTTGTAAAGGAAGTTTTTACAACTCAGTAGCTTATCTGGAGGAACATAATTGCCCAAAATAGACCCGAACCTCCGAAAATCCCTCGTAATTTCAGTTGTTTACATGGAAAGTAAAGCTGCTTCATGGTTTCGAGTCGGTTGCCCATATGTGGTCGTAAAGTGATACGTCATCGTTATTTCTAACCAAGCACCAAGGAGGAATTGTATCAGCCAATCAGGATTAATGACGCAAAAACGTTGCCGTAATGATAACCAATCAGCATCAAGGATACATAGGCTAATGACCCTCTGTGCCATGTATCAAAAGCGACTTCTAGCAGTCGGCGAAATTATTACATGTAAAAAATCCCCCTCAATACCTGCAATAATTCCACGAACTGCTAGAGGCCCTCATTGACACGTATGATGAATTGGCATTATGGCGCCTGTGGATGCATCACAGCATCCAATTAACTAAAACGTGAGGGAGTAAACTTTGTAAAGAAGGGTGCACGTTCGCCAGGGATAGAAAGATTCTTCTGGACACCTCAGGTATGAATTATTACACTTCTAGAAAGGGTTTGGTGGAAAAACTGGAACGAAAAGTTTATGCGTTTTATTGATGTTTGTTTCATTTTTCGTTACTGAACATATTTTCCTTGATTTTGTTCTTGTTATCAGTTCTAAGCGTCCAGAAAACACCTAGACGTGAATAAGGATCATATAGAAAATATTGCAACAACTAGTTCAATAATCGTTCGCGTTATTTTTACTTTAAACGCTAAGATTTACACCCAATCCTGCCTACATTTAACCATGCATACATGTATCTACATGATTCGCCTGGAGGATTACGTAACTACCTCGACGTATGCGGCACCTGGACTTAATGTATGCATATTTTTTAGCCTCGTTATCAGACGATATCCGTTGATTTGATTGGCCCGCCTTTTAATCGAGTTAATTCTCAGCTAAGACCTGTCAAATGGCCATTTTATTGCATAACTTTTGACGTCAGAAGCGTCCTTTTTATAGTCACAAATTGCGGACGTTTCGGTTATATTCGGCTATACTTTGTAACTTCGTGATCTTATCGTTGATACTATGATATGGGAAGAATTGGATGCTCAGTTTAGATAAAAGGGGCGAAGATAGTATTGGAAAAGTACTAACGTGTGTTTTCCTAAATTTAAATTTTATAAAGTTGGATGATGAGGGTAGAAAAACTGAAAAATTCGAAATTGTAAGATGAAAGTAATTAAATCATTGTATTTTTCAGGCCAGTATGTGTGATGATTGCCTATTGGCTTGTCGTAAATCTAATCTTAAACTTGATTATCGAATGCAAATTTTGCTTGTGATTTACAGGTGGCATGACACATGTGCGTGAAACACGCCTTTAGTTTTCCAAGATGGCGAGTGTACATGGACGGGAAGAACAAGCGGGTAACAATTACGCCCAGGAAGACGCACCATGCCCGCTTTGGTGGTAAGTTGTACTTTAAATTGTCGTAGATACTCTCCCGACTATTATAGATAAATCTCCTTTAAGTTAAATGAAGCAAAAAGACAGAATTTTGATAATAACTTTCAGCAATTATCCCCACGTGTTAACGCTGCACTTAGTTAAGTAACCGATGGAGGCGCATTTGCGTGCTCGATAAAAAAGCACTTTGTTATTCAACTGTTTATTACCTCCATGAAAAATGGAGGTATTGTTTTTGGCGTGTCTGTCTGTATGTCTGTCTGTGTGTCTGTCTGTCTGTGTTTCCACAACTTTGTAGTCAGCATAACTTCATAATGCGTTTATGGATTGTGATGAGATTTGGTATGCTGATAAGTCTTAGGAAGACAAAGGTCAAGGTCAAATATGGACCTCCTGGTGGATGACCTTGGTACTGCAGCAGAACTTCCGGTTTTTGTATCTTTTGTTCTGAACAAGCTATGGTCTTGACGTTTTGGTGACAGATAGCTTATCTTGTCAGGAATAAGTGGCGTAAGTTTGGTCCCCCTAGCAGCTTGTTCTGGAACTGCAGGTTAGTTTCTGGTAAAAACTTTCAAAGCCAATAAGTCTAGATTGGAACAACGTATTTTCATCATTTTTGGTGTGTAGGTACTTAAAAGACAGTTGTACATGATTAAATGCAAATTATGCAAATGCGGACTTAATTTGCATAATTAATGAGGAAATTCTATAATTACAGTGTTTCATATAATGGTACTGCTATACATGTAATCTATTTAATCTGTGGCAGGCGGAACATCAACAGATACCAATTATGCAAATGATGACCTAATTTGCATGATTAATGTGAAAATTCTGTAAATTCTTATTGGTGAATGATGGGAATTTCATACCTTGTAACATGTGTAAGTTACTTAAAGGTTTGCATCGCTATGCATATATTATGTTAATGTAGAGGTTATTTGCATAATTTATGAGGACAAAGTAAGCCCATATTTCATGGAGGTATGAGATCTCTGAACTCTTGTTAAATTTTTGTTTGCACCGTAACCACCAATTATTTGAACACGGGTCAATCAAATTTTATTCAATGAGGGTGAAATTAATGATCCTGAAATAGGAAAACGACACCAATCTTAAGAGGTGCACTCTGTAAGTAATCCGCTGAGAGGCGCCTTTATGTGACCCCTGACCTGAATAGCTTTGCTTGAAACGTGGTTTGCTGTTGTCCTGTGTGTTTTGGTCAAATTCTATGCGTTTCAGTCTAAAACAAAAGTGTTCCGAGGCCGATAGCATACAGAGGGGACATGATAGTACCGTTTGTGTAGAGGATGACATGGATAAGGTGGTAGATTTGTAAGGAGGGGAGACAGACGACCGGTAACTTCGAGTGGGGAGGGGGCGGTGGTAACAGAGTTGTTTTTAATATTCGTATCAAAGAAGTGCCGTATCCACCTGGGGTAATTATTTTATACGTCACATGATGCTCAGGAAGGCAAATTTGCAGGTAGAAAAGACACGAACCGGAAGGATCCACTATAGGTTTAAGGACTGTAAGAGGGTCTGCATGCCCTTTTTCGTTAACCGTTATGGGCTATTTTAATTTACCGTTAATCGTTGCCGGCCCGCTCTAATTCAACGTTAAGCGTTATCAGTATACTAGTATTCCTCGTGAAGCGTTATTGGTCGTTTTAATTCAACGTAAAACGTTATTTGTCATCCTGAATTCAGCGTTAAGCGTTAATGAATAATTCTTCGTTACGCCTAATTTTGCCTATCAAAGTGCAGGAAAATGCGTCATTGAAGGTTTAAAAATTCAAAATTTCCCGGGGGAGAATGCCCCTGGACCCCTCTACATTGCTCGCGCCTTTGGCGCTCGACTCGCGCTTCTGCGCTCGGTCCCTTTGGCTCTAGCCAGAACCAGTTTACCCTTCAATTTCCGGAGGTTTGCGGAGAGTTACAGAATTTTTTAACGAATCCGTCATGCAACCTTGACAGGCAAATTAACAAAAATCTTGAGTAAAATATGAAAACATCAGAAGGACCGACAAACAATCTCAACACCATGATTTGCCTCTCAAAATGCGGGAAATTGCGTTTTTGAAGGCTTTAAAAAATCCTAAATTTCCCGGGGGAGCATTCCCCCGGACCCCCCTAGATTACGAGCGCCTTCGGCGCTCCCATCTCAAAATCCATCGGTAAAACTGGGCAGACTGAAAAAAATGCAAGCTGGCCGAAGTCGACTCGGACACCCCAGTATTTGTGGACGCACTCGGGGACCAGGGCAGGTGGGAAACACAGGGAACACATACCTTTAATGCATGCTTCATTACATGTAAGGTGTACGTAATTTTGTCAGTGATCACCTTTTCTCACAAAGCGAGATACCAAATCCAGTGCAGCTACGAAAAAAAGCCTGTCAATTTACCGTTAAGCGTTGCCGGCCGTCCTGAATTTACCGTTAAGCGTTATCGGCCCTGCTGAATTTACCGTTAACCGTTGCCAGGACCCCCCATGCAGACCCTCATCATAGAAGACAT